TTCTGAAATTCTATTTTCTAATTACAGGATAATGGTCATCCTAATGTACCGCCAGTTGGTCTCTCTTTGAAATCTGTGTCCAGTATAAATATTGATCAGCTTAGAACGAGAAATGAAGAACGGATGCGAAGACTGAATGAATTTCAGAATAAACCGATTAATACAGGTAAATGGCCAAGCTTAATAGACTGTATACATAGCACATTCTGTAAGAACTGAAACCTGTTTCCGTGGGAGTTTTCACTGATGGCTGGGGTCAGGGGATAGAGGAAGGAATTCTGAAACCCCTTTGAATTGTAAGGACTAGAACCACAGATACCATCCAGGAAAACCTCGACTTAGGATCAATTTTGCATCAGATTCTACCAGAGAGGGTACTTTTTTTTTTTTTTTAGTGGATTCTAAACAGATGAAGTTTTTACTAAATGTATCTAGGCTTTGCTTTCACCAGGGAAAATGTATTAGTTTCATTATCTCACCTCCCTTATTGAAGTTAGAGATTGTTAGAAATTAACTTCACAATTTTTTTTTTTTTTTTTTACTTTTTTTGCTTGCCTTTTGATGCCATAGAGCAAAATAGCCTCAGGTTAGTATTTCTTTTTAGAAGCCAGTGTTTCCATTAGGAGCTTCATTGTCTCATCGCTTTGGTGATCAGCAGGTTAAAGCGTGTTCACCAAGCACAGGCAGGCAGGATGGTTCCTTAGGCAGCTACTGACCTCCCTCTATTAGTTTTAGCAAATAGCAGAGTGGTCTTTTGGGACAATTCCTGTTAGTCTGTAAACCTACATCCAATAATTTTCTAATAGCAATTTTCCTACCTTTAACACTTTATTAATTTAAAACTACACTCATACAGTTGGCAGCAGTCCAGGTGATATAAATTGATGGAGCCATACTTTTCATATCATACCTGAAAAAATGTGGATCAGTGGGAAAACAATTCTTTTAATGTGTACCGAGGATTACCTATTCCTCAATTTCTTTTAGAACCAGTAAGGAGAATATTTAATAGGAATATATTTAAATAATTGAGAAAATAGAGCATTTGAAGAATCTCTTTCAGAAGGTTTTCAGCTTCTAAACTGTAACATTGTCCTTTCAAACAGGAGCTTTTTGGTGCGATGTGGATTGATTGCTCATTAAATTGCCTGCACATGTCCCTTTGCTGGGCTAATCCTTCACAGACCGGGAGGTGTAATTTAAACAGATTTTGACATCACAGAGTAGGAAGACAGATTTTCCTATTATATCTAGTAAGTAAAAATACAGATAAAGAAGTTGAACACATTTAATTAAAGAATGAACCATAAATTAGGGACTTGCTAATGGAGAAGACCCCAATCTCATAGATTAGGTGCAGGAATGTAAATAATTTCATCCCCTGTCTGGTGCTTTCCTTAAAATGACTTTATTTCTTTATAGCATTGTTAAAAGATTTAGAGTTATTTCTAAAACTTTGCTAAATTTAAAGCTTTGTAAGGTTGCTTACACTTCTACCAACACCTTACCTGTCTGGTGCCATCTACTTTGCTATCTTTGGAATTCCTGTGGGTGATGGTACCATGGAGTCAGTCACCTTATTCACTTGGCCGTTTTTTCTTTTTTTCCCCTGACCTCTAAAATGAAGCATCTGGGGGCGCCTGGGTGGTTCAGTTGGTTAAGCGTCCGACTTCGGCTCAGGTCATGATCTCACAGTTCCTGAGTTCGAGCCCTACGTTGGGCTCTGTGCTGACAGCTCAGAGCCTGGAGCCTGATTCGGATTCTGTGTCTCCCTCTCTCTGACCCTCCCCTGTTCATGCTCTGTCTCTCCGTCTCAAAAATAAAACGTTAAAATGAAGCATCTAGACAGGACAGTACACTGTAGAACATCATAATATGGAGAAATGCGGGGCTGGAACGGGTTAGATGACAAGAGATCTGTGTTCATGTCACCTCCTTGCCACCAGTGTTACCTAAGTCATGTCCCTCTTGCCTCCTGTAGACGACGAAAGTTCACTGGTTGACCCTGATGACGTGCTGAAGCACATGGGAGACGATGGATCAAACTCTGTAGCGACTGAGCCCTGGCTCCGCCCAGGCACCTCAGAAACACTGAAAGGATTCATGGCAGAGCAACTGAACCAGGAGCAGCAGCAGGTTCCTGGAAAACTAGGCATTTTCAATTGGCAGGGCCTGTCTACTGCCCACGGTTAAATAAATCTGTATTGGACCCAGCAGTGCCTTTTAAGGTGAAAGGAATGTTAAATCTGAACCTTTGGTAATATGTGTGCTACTTTTGGTCACTACCTGAACGTTACTTACACAAGTTCCATCTGTATATAAGGTGTATTTTTCCCATGATGATGTATATGATGTACATAAAAGGCCATGATTAATTTATATAATGTAGAATTAAATAGAATTATTTTTGCACAATTTTGCCATACATTAGGTGGTAATGAACTCTTGGAATCAACTACCATATGTGCATTATTCTCGTAAGATAAGGTGAATAAAACAAGTGTCTTAACAGTACTGCAAAACCTGAATACTCGTTTGTACATTTGCCATTGTTCTCGCGATTCAAAATGATTCGCTTAATAAATACATTGGTTGTAGTTGTGACTATTTCAGTTGCTAGATAATGAATCACGTGCTAGCTACTTCCATGTTATTTATAGCTACTGATTCAGTACAAATGATGGGAATCATAACTGATTTCATTCCCACGAGCCATACACTATCACATCTTTCTGCCTCTTTTTCTATGAATGAAGGCATTATATTTACTGATTAATATGACTTTACTAGTTGATAGAAATAAATTTTTATTGCCAATGTCAATTTCTTAACTGGAACTGAGGTTCTAAACAAGGTGTTTTAGAAGGTGAAGACAGACAAGAACACCCAGGGGTCGACAGAGACTGGAATCCTTGCTGCACCGCCATGGACCCTTGGATAAGTGAGTCTAATCACTCCATTAAATGGTACCTTTGGGAAATAATTCTTTGGTTTTAGCACCATGACCACTGAGAACACCCCCAGATCCTACTTCTTGCACATTTCCATTGGAACTATTGGATAAGTTTACCTCGTGTGAAATTTTACCATTTTAAATTTTAGCTGCATATAAATCTTACTCAGTTTTGTACCCTAATCATTGTTTGCTTCACTGTGAAGATTTTTCCTCTTCTATCTTCATTTCAAAGTACCACGAAAGCCTCTTGTCTCCTCTAAGGAGAGTCCTGGTACCATAAAATAAACCACCGGTTCCCAGCTCTAGCATCCAGCTGGGCTTAAAGAGGGCTGTGTCTTGGGGGCATGTTTATAAATGCATTGTTCAAAAACTCATTATCTAGAAGTATAAACAGTTATCCCCCCCCCTTTTTTTAATGCCGTTGTACCACACAACTCAAACGGACTCCTAGGACACACAATGTCCCCTGGCGAATTGCCCCAAAGGGGACTTCAGCTCTTTTAGCAGATAGTATAGCCTTATTTCGGGTTATTAATATACAAAATGTTAAGGGTTGAGAAGGCAGGATCCCAATGCCAAAAGCTGGAACGAAAATGTCAGCATTAACACTGAATTTGTAGTTCCAGCAAAGAATATTCCTAAATTCAGCTTTTAACAAAAAAAAAAAAAAAAAAAAAAAAAAAAAAAAAAAAAAAAAAAAAAAAATCAATGAAACATGGGGCTGTGGATTACACAGGGTTTGATTGCACTGATGAAATAATCCAAAAACTTTATTGACCTATAACCTGATTAGAATATGCCAGATGAGAATATTGTACAGAAAGTTGTACAGAATTTTTTACATAGAAAACTTTACATCTGTACCATATACATTTTATCCATCTGAAAAAATTTTCTACATCCACTGTTAATACGGAATGCTTGACAATCTTGTCTTTTTTTTTAACCATCAGAGCACAATTCACAGTATGAATACATTTCCAGTAAATCTAACTTCCCCAAACCATGCCAGATTTGTTATTTTAACATATTCAACATTAAATTCTGTACATACAGTAAAATCTACATCAAGCCCCTCCACCCAAAAGAAAAAAGAAAGTGACAGCAACCTAGATCATTTTGCAGTGATTCAAGTTTCAATCCACGAAGGATCAACTCTATTTTAATGGCTCATCTTTTAGAGGCCCTAAGAGAAGTATATTACAGGTAGTTAGGTCAGTAGGAGTATTTTCTACCTTTTTTGTTGTTGTTGATCATGACAAGTGTCAGCCACAACAGCTTCTGGGCATGTCAAACCTTGAAAATGACCCACCCCTCAAAAGGGCAAAACCAAAATCCCCACAAAATAAAAAAGACAAAGTTCAACCCAAATGTTTAGTGCATTTGACAAAATATTATAGGTATTTAGCAAATGAATAAGAAAATAAAGAAATTAAAATAAAACAGTGCAGGAAGAACTATATAATGTTTAAGATTTTTATATTACAGACCTGCATCTCTGTACATTTTTCACAGAAGGATGATTACCAGTATCTCAGATAGCCTGAGTGTGCAAAAATCTTCAGAATAAGAATACCATAGTTGCTAAATATCTTTTACCATGAACAATAATTTCTTCTTCTCCCCCCAACCCCAATTATAAACATTTTATCCTTCAAAATACAGCTCTCCTGAGTTGTACTTCTTGCAGAAGTTCAAATCTTTACATCTATAGTTCTTTGGGTAAAGTTTTGCTTCCACACCTGCCAAACATATGTGGGGCTCTCCCTGCTGCCAAGGACAGGGAAGGACACATGAACACAAGCGGACACTGTGGAAAGAGGCTTTCTGCTCAACATGAGCCCAACATGACTAACAGAATCCACCAGATTACTAATAGGGACTGGAGCATTGCAAGTTTGAGTTATAGTTCTGAGCATCTTTACCAGTAACCCTCAGACACTGCAATTCAGAGAAACCATTTTTCAGGTAGGAAACCTCAGCTCCTGGGTCCTTTTAAAGAGCGGAGGGATGTAAACGCCAACAGAAAAATACCAAGTTGCCATCATTGCTTGTTTATTCCAAGTTCCTGTTCAGGTGGCTGTGATATCTGAAAAACTACTCCAATTCGCAGAAAAAATCTTCTAAGAACAGCACGAAGTTCAGGAATCAAGTCAAATTGCATAATTTCACATAAGAGAGGGTAGTAGAATGACGCGTGAGCCTTAAACTGGGGGTGGAAGGGGTAAGAATTTCCCGGTTAGTAGTGCTTGCATTCCAAATCACAGAAGCTCAAAATGCCTTCAGAGTCAAACCACTTTGGGGCCTGCACCAATCAGTGAAGACAGAGGAAATACATCTGCATAAAGCAGTGACTATATTGATTATGGAAACTGAAAGAGATACTTCTGTTTAAAAAGAGAAAAGACTTCAAAAGACTTAATACAAACATTATTCACTTAACCTACCCTTATTTTGGAAAACATTTTCTATTATAGTTCCTTGAACTTATGGTAAACTTCTAGTATTTATCATTGTTTTTCCTGGATAATAAGCAAAAGTAAGACCAGCGGGAATCACAGTTGAGTTTTTACAAGCTATGGGTTATTGAAACTACCTTATTTGTTAAAGAAATTTCTAATTTTAGGGAAAATACCTTACTTGTTAAAGAAATTTCTAATTTCTACCTAATACTACAATGTAAAATATGTACTCTTCAGGCAAAGATTATACATTCCACAATTATGGTCTTTGCTAGACTTCTTTAATTTCTGAATACAAGTCACCTGCCTGTTCTCTCTCCTGCTCCCCACACCCCATGAGGGACAAAGAAGCAGTGTGACAGACTGTGGCACGAAAGCTTGTAGTGGAATCAGACGGACTACGCTTTGGAGTCCTTCCTGGCCCCGTGGCTGCTCATGCCTTAGGTCACTTCTCTAAGCTTTATCCAGCCTGGGAGTCAGATGGGAATGCATGTGGACCAGAGCATATGACTTGGGATAAACATCTGTATGGCACCAACTGACACTGCACAGCCTCTATTGGGTCCCCTGGCCCAAATCTCCGGCCACCTCACTGCATTTTTAAACCTATTCAGGGGGGCGCCTGGGTGGCGCAGTCGGTTAAGCGTCCGACTTCAGCCAGGTCACGATCTCGCGGTCCGGGAGTTCGAGCCCCGCGTCGGGCTCTGGGCTGATGGCTCAGAGCCTGGAGCCTGTTTCCGATTCTGTGTCTCCCTCTCTCTCTGCCCCTCCCCCGTTCATGCTCTGTCTCTCTCTGTCGCAAAAATAAATAAATGTTGAAAAAAAAATTAAAAAAAAA